CGATTTCGGCCTCCACCTTCTGTTCACCGCTCGCCCTAGTTGTTCTCCCAATTTTTCCCATTTGAGTTCTATTTCCAAGGATAATCGCATGGGCGGGATAATGATATCTAATTCGTTTCAGTGGATAATTGCAGGAGATTAAGCCAGTGTGACAATTATACCCCTTTGGTCCACGCGAATTGAGTAAAATGTAGTAAAAAGTCCTACATTGAAAGCAAAAAACTAGTTCAGTGACTAAATTGGTTAAAATATTTAATGAAGGACGAAATTGATTTAAGTGAAAATGTTTAGGGACCAAATTGGCAAAATTTCCTACTTTTATCTAAACTACTTAAAGCCCTGAAGCCTGATGAACAGTTGATTGTGCCGGTTTCGCTGTGGTTTTGCAGCTCATTTTGTCCTTTTTAGTCTTTTCGCAGGTTTCGTGTAGCGCCATTGCTTCTGCTTCCGCTTGTCCTTGTTGCTTTGTTCCCATTCTGCCCTTTCGCTTGGTATGCCTGTAATTTTGTCCTTTTGTTTCTCCTCGATCTTCCGCTGTTGCTTGAGTTTACTCACGAATGTTGGCTTTTCTCCCCAATTTCGTCCTTTTCTTTCTCATTCGTTTTCCGCTACTGTAATTGTTACCTTTGCTCCACGATTTTCCCCTTTTCTTTCTCTTCCATTTTCGCTGGAATTGTTATGTCTAACTTTATTCACCAAAATGTTAGCTTCTTGCTTTTATTTATTAAGTTTCTTTCGCATATAACTCCCTTAACTTTGCATTGTATTAAGGTTTCTTTCTTCAAAATATAATTTTCCCTTCTCTTTTATATTTATTACGATATTCATTATTTAATATATACATATATATATATTAGCAAAAATGTTGATTCTGTGAAAAAATATACGAACCACTAAAAAATTATTTGTGCACCTAATATGTATAGAACGGTATATAAATTCCATATTTATTACGATATTCATTAATTAATATATATATTAGCAAAAATGTTGATTTTGTGAACAAATATGCAAACCCAATAAAAAATCTTTATCCATCTAATATGTATAGAACAGTATATAAATTCTATATATAATATGATACAATTTTATATTATTATGATATTCATTAATCAATAAATTAATTACTCCAAATATATACATTAACAAACATATTAATTTTATAAAAAAAAATATGCTTCCAGTCACCTTATTGTAATTTAAATTTCTATAACACATAAGCTCATGTACTATTCGTCAACTTTCATTAACATATTCATTAATAAATAAATAAATTACTTCATGATTAGATAAATATAATGAGCTAACAAGCGTTAGTAATTTTTGACATCAATAATCTAATACAATCTTTTAAATTACTCTTTAAAATTGTGTTTTTTCCCCATAACACAGAAGGCCATGTGCTATTCGCTGATTTTGAGTAACATATTCATTAATCAATAAATAAATGATTTCATCATTACATGAATATTAATGAGCTAACAACCGTGATTAATTTTTCATATCAATGAGCTAATAGACTCTTTAAAATTGTGTTTTTTAAAATTTTGGAATCTTATTAATTACCAAAAAAATTAATACAACTATTATTTCTTTCGGTAACACTTATTTACAATTCAATTCATCCAATACTCATTCAATTGAAAAATGATTATTCAATTAATAAATACAAATATATGATTTCGTAATTTCTAATATCCTATTGTTAAAATTGTTTACTTTATATATGTTATATTTACAATTTTATATTCTCTACTATATTTGTTTTCTCTCCTTGTCTCTTATGTCTAATTCTTTTATTGTCCAGTCTTCATTTAATGTGCTCATGTGCTTATTTACTACTTAGCTTACTTTATGCACACGTGTTATTCATCTACATGGATTGTCACTATTTTCTTGATCCATTTCACATTAGCTACTTTCACCATCTAATCTGCATTAAATATGCCCAGATATTTCCTTCCTCCATGAATCATATTATTAATATTCATTATCCTTGATTTTAGTCTTCCCACCATTCTGTCCGTCGGATTCGTGCTCCCAACAAGCACCTCGTTTTATTAGCTCTCATTATTTTATTCATTTCCTTCCACTTTGGTTCCCACTTAAGCTCTTGCTTCCTTATAGTCGACTTCACTTTCGCTATAGCCTTTTATCATCCTGCTCCAGGTTCTGCCTGGTAAATTATTCCTTATTCCTCATTTTCAACCTTACGAATGCTCCTTTCCATTCTGTAATATTTCACTTTTCGTTGCATCATTCCCCTATGCGTTAATTCGACCCTTCTGTTGCATTAATAGTTACTTTTGTCTGTTTTCTTTGCCATCTTGCCATCAAACATGCATCCTTTGTCGTTATCCCATATTGCCTCTCGTATTATGCAGATGCATTTATATCTCTTTTTGGTACTTTTCCTTCCTAATAGATGGTTTGCCTTTCACCCATGTCCCTTTTTGGCTAATATTGTCCCTGCTCATGATTTTTCTATTTGCTTTCTCCTAATATTCTCTTATGGTTGCACTCCTACCACTCCTTTCATTAGAATATTTAACTACCTTTAATCCTCGCCTCTTTTCATTTATTATATAGTGGCATAAAAATATTTCCTTCCATTTTTTGATTTTAGTTTTTCCCCTCTTGCATGCATGTGCATCAGTCGAACTTTCATACTTAGGAGCTGATCATTTTATACTAAACAGTTTTTCCCTTCTTGTACTTATAGTTGTTATTATAGATTTTTTACCTTTACTTTTTCATTCACTTTCCTGCAATTTCCACTTTAACTGCAGGTTCCTTTTCATTCACATTTCTATGTCTTTCTTTGTATATTTTTCATCTTATTATTTTATAGTTACATGGTAATCTTGACTTCTACAATCTCACATTTCTTATCTTGTTCCATTCATTCATTTACTATTATATGCAATCTTCCTGACGCTTGCTTGGTTCATTCATTCACTGTTACATTCAACCATAACTATCGTTAATTATGACATCTATTTCTATCTGCCGTTAGTTTTATTTACTATGCCTCGAAAGCGTAAATCTTACTATGAAGATCAGTGCCATCTCGAAAAGAATGAACGTCGCCGAGACAGATATGCTGCAGAAATAGCGAGACGATGCAAAGGAACTGCACAAATGGCCAACCAAAAAACACATTGTACTCCAATTGATGAATCTAGTGCACCTCCTCTTCCAAATATTCCATCTGTTTCTACTTGCTCTACACATAAAGATTGTTTAGTTGATGTGCCTATCTATACTACTGGATCAACAGCCAGCAGTCATTTTCCTTATAGACCTACTCATCCTTTTTCCCCATCCTCACCTTTTGTTCCAAGTGTTTCTTCCTATTCTCCTCTTTCCGTTATGCCAATTCCTCATATAGCAGACAGCTCCTCTACATCAGCTATATCTAAGATTGATCCATGTATTTATTCTCTTCCTACCTTTTGCATATAATTTTTTCATGTATTTATTGGTCATTTCAATGACACTAAACACCTTCTTATACATACATACATAGATTATCTTCCTGCAAGAAACGATCCTGTCTTAGAAAACCTTTTCAATCCGGCATCATCTCCTGCTGCCATTCACTGGTTCCCCTGTCCAATTTTTGCCTGTAGGTTTCCTCCTTATTTTAATAATTTCGATCACTACTTAATCCTATTTTATTATAACAAATATGTATAATATATTTTACTTTTACATGAGCAACATAGCTTAACTCACGTTGATAAATTTTCAGCACAGCCATCGGTGATAGCAGAACCATCAAGTTCATCTGCACCTATCCAAAATCAAAGTGTGCGATAAAACTTTCCTCCTATCTTTATCCTGTTACTCTTTTCATACATACCACATGCTTTATCTGTATTTGCGCCTTATAACTTGTCTACATTTATACTTCATACTTTTAGTTCGACGACGACGCAAAAAAAATATCCCATTGCTCCAACAAATACCATTAGAACCAGCTCTTCTCCCACCTGCTCCAGACTGTCCACATTGTTGTGCAAAACGCTTCTATATGGAACTGCCAAGATTTTGTTATGCATCAGGAGAAATTCATTTAGCAGAAACAAAAATGCCAGATATGCTTGTGCAACTCTATAAAGGAAATACTCCTGAGGCTACTGAGTTTAGACAATGTATAAGGAGTTACAACAATATATTTGCCTTTACATCATTGGGAGTTCACTATAACAAAGGCCTCAGTAAGAGAAATAAAGGTATATACACATTTCGAGTACAAGGACAGATATACCATTTTGTCAGTGCATTGAAACCTTCTGATGGTGAAAAAGCATCGAATTTGCAACTGTATTTTTATGATATAGAACATGAGATACAGAATAGAATGGCTCTCTCCAGCAAATTCAAAGAATCAATTGTTCAGCAGCTAAAATCCATTCTTGATCAGAACCCCTACTCCATCTTTATCCGAAGGTTAACAGACATTCAAGATTTGGATAACTACAGAATTTTCCTTAAATCTAATCCAGGATTAGATCAACGTGTCTTCAATTTTCCTGCAGTCTCTCAAGTGGCAGCAATTTGGTCTGACAATGACAATACTAATGGAGACAGTTCAAGAGAAATTGAAATCTATACAAAAACAGGAGGCACAAGAATAATTAAGCAACATTATGGTTGTTATGATACATTACAATATCCATTAATATTTGCTCGTGGAGAAACAGGATGGCATCCTGGAATCCTTCGGAAAACAAGAACTCAGATTCTTAATGACTCTCATCAGACTTGTGAAAGAGAAAATATGCTTCCTGTTCATCAATGCAATGATCTAGAACAACTCTTTGATGTGGAACAAACAGGTATATTTAGAAACCTTTATATTTTTCAGCATTTGTCTACTACAATGTAAAATAACTAATTCTTACATTTTTCTTATTTTATCAGCTGCTAAAAAGAAAAAAAAAAGGAAAAGGCCAACAGTCTCGTGCCGAGAATATTATGCTTACAAATTCCAAATGCGAGATAGAGATCAATCACACCTGCTACACATTGGCCGGTTATTGCAGCAGTATTCTGTTGATGCTTATGTCAAGTTAGAGACATCACGTCTTGAATTTCACAGAAACAGGCAAAACAAATTGAGGACAGAAGCTTATCAGGGATTACTTGATATCATAGCAAGAGGCAAGACAAATGCATCAGATGTAGGAAAGCGTATCATATTGCCAGCAAGTTTTATAGGAGGACCAAGGGATATGCGGCGACGATATATGGACGCTATGACCCTTGTGCAGCGTTATGGGAAATCGGATATTTCCCTTACAATGACCTGCAATCCCTCTTGGCCTGAAATAAAGAATCATTTGGAAGAGGTGGATGAGACTCAGAATCGCCCAGACTTGATCACACGAGTGTTCCGTGCAAAAATAGAACAGTTGAAAGAAAACCTTTTCAAGAAGCATCTTATCGGTGATGTTGCCGCTTATACCTACGTTATTGAATTTCAGAAAAGAGGCCTCCCACATACTCATTTTTTGGTTATCTTGAAAAAACGTTCAAAGATGTTCTCACCCGAAGAATATGACAAAATTGTCTGTGCAGAGCTCCCTGATAAACATCAGTCATCTTACTTACATGCTTTAGTTATAAAGCATATGATTCATGGACCATGTGGAGCAATGAATCCAAGTAATCCCTGTATGCGACAAAATAAAAAATGCAGAAACAATTATCCAAAGAAATTTTCAAAATATACAAAGCATGAAAAAAACTCATATCCAATATACAGAAGGCGAGATGATGGCACCAGAATCTACATCAGAGAGCATGAGTTAGACAACCGATGGATTGTCCCTTATAATCCATACATTCTTGTTAAATATGATTGTCACATCAATGTGGAAATATGTTCTGCTATCGAAGCTGTCAAGTATATATACAAGTATATATACAAAGGCTACGACAGAGTAATGTATCAATTGACAGCAGAACAAGCAAATAAGATTGTTGATGAGATCAAGAATTTTAGTCTGCAAGATGGGTGTGTGCTCCTGAAGCTATGTGAAAGATTTATGCTTTTGATCTCAATCTTATCAGTCCATCAGTCATTTCACTTCATTTGCACCTTGAAAACTACCAATCTATGTGCTTTGATGAGAATCAATCTTTGACACAGGTAGTTACAGATGACAGGCTTTCACGAACAATGCTGATAGAGTTTTTAACATGAATCAAACAAATAAGGAAGCAGATGATTTAAGTCTTCTCTACAGGGAGTTTCCTCAACATTTTGTTTGGGATCAAGATGATAGAATCTGGTATACAAGAAAAAGAGGACAAGTCATTGGCCGTATAATAACAGCACACCAATTGAAGGTGAGAGATATTATCTGAGAATACTACTCATGAATGTTCGAAAACCAACCTCCTTTGATGATCTTAAAACAGTCAATGGTTATCTGACGTCTTCATTCAAAAAAGCAACAGAATTGCGCGGTTTACTCCACACAGATAACGGAGCTGAAGAATGCTTATCAGAGGCTGTTATGTACAAAATGCCACAATGTTTGAGACAGTTATTTGCAGTGATTTTAGTCCATTGTCTACCAGCTAATCCGCAGCAGCTCTAGTCAAAGTTTTAGTCCTTTTTGTCAGAAAACATTGCAGCAGATCCTTCTTTATCAGAAAATACAATTGTCATGAGAGTTCTCGGCCTCATTGATCAATACTTGCAAATAATGGGAAAAAGCATCAAAGATTTTAGCTTCTCAGATTTTACTCCAAGTTTTTAGTTTAACCATCCGGGAAAAAAAATACAAGCTAAACTTGCAATACCTGTATCAGGAGAAGATTTAGCAGCAGTAGCTATGTTAAACAGTGGCCAACAACTTACATTTCAAAAAATAATGGAAAGAGTCAATACAAACAAATCAGGTGCATTCTTTATTGATGGCCCTGGTGGTACAGGAAAATCCTTTCTCTACAAAGCTCTCCGTGCAACAATTAGATCAAAAGGTGACATTGCACTGGCAACTACAATATCAGGAGCAACTGCATCAATACTTTCAGGAGGTCGTATTGCTCATTCAGGTTTCAAAATTCCACTCCATCATGAAACCAGCAGCATATGTAATCTTTCTAAGCAAGGTGCCGTTTCTCAGCTAATCAAAGCTGCAAAGCTAATAATATGGGATGAAGCAACAATGACAAAAAAGTACGCAATCGAATCCTTTGACAAAGTACTTAGAGACTTGCTCAATTCTGATCAAATATTTGGTGGAAAACTCATTGTTTTCGGTGGAGATTTTTGCCAGACTTTACCAGTTGTCCAGAAAGATCAAAGAGAAGATTACATTTCTGCATCTCTCATCAACTCATATATCTGGCCACACCTCCAAAAGATTCGATTGACAGAAAATATGAGAGCATTTCTTGATCCATCATTCTCAGATTTTCTGCTCAATATTGGAAATGGCACACAAGCAACCATTACAGATGACAAGATACGGTTGCCTTCTTTAATGATTGTCCCTTTCATTAATGACGATCAGCAATCCTTGCACACTTTGATAGACACTGTTTATCCATCTCTGTCCAACTTTCCCCCTCAGAATTCAACTCTCATTAACAGAGCCATTCTCAGTACAACAAATGATATTATGCTCGAAATCAATCAGATCTTGATTCAAAAGTTCCCTGGAGAAGAAATCAAATATATCAGTTTCGATGAGACAATAGATCCAACAAAACAAGCTGATCACGGTGACTTCTTAAATACTATCCACCCCCAGGATTACCTCCACATTTGTTGATTTTGAAACCAAATTACCCAGTCATTCTCTTAAGAAACCTGAATCCAACACAAGGACTATGCAATGGAACCCGTTTGATATGCTTGAATTTTAACAAAAACATCATTCATGCTCAAATTTCAATTGGAATTCATTCTGGTAAACAAGTTTTCATTCCTCGCATTCCATTGCACAGTTCTAATGATGAGTCATATCCAATACGATTCAAGCGTACTCAGTTCCCAATTTCATTATGTTTTGCCATGACAATTAATAAATCACAGGGACAAACACTTGATTTTGTAGGATTATATCTGAAAGAACCAGTATTCTCACATGGCCAATTATATGTTACATTATCAAGAGCCAGAACTGCTAATGATGTTAAAATTTTGCTCAGACGTATTGCTTCTGATTCTATGTCCAGTAATTGTACTCGAAATGTAGTGTATCAAGAAATTTTAGCAGCTGCAGCTGAAGATTAAGTACTGAACTGAAAAATTTTCAATTAAAACTGCTTATATTCAGTCTCTTATATATTTACATCATTCTATCCACATTAACATACTTTTGACATTCTATATTGCAGGCATGGATGACAAATGCACTCCTCTGAACAGCTTGACAAATAAATCAAGTAAGTGGATAATTAAAGTCATTCTAATTGAAAAAACAAACATCTTCACCGGAAAAGACAACAGCATGTTCCAACGCTTCATGTTTGCAGATGAGCAGGTAAATTTCATCTTCAAGATCCTTTTCATTAAAAAAAAATTAACTATAAAAACAAGGCTTTTACTTATTGTTTATACTATAATAATTACTGATGCAATAAAAAAGACCCTTACCCATTAAAAATAATCTGTTTCAATATAACATTTTCATCTACTATCCATTATCACTCTTATTTATCATCAACTTCCAATCAATTAATGACTCTTATTTGCAGAATGAATCAATTCAAGGAATTGCTTTCACTAGAGATGTAAAGTATGCATATAGCAAGCTTCATCCTTATCACACTTATTACATCGGCAATGCTGCTATTTCATCTATCACTGATGAAAGAAATCAAGCTAGTTCTGTCGCATGGCAGCTGACAATAACAAAAACAACTTTTATCAAATAGACACAAAAAGCAAAACAGCTGACATTGGACAATCATTTTCCATTAACTTCATTCAGGGATCTTGATAAATATAAAAACAATGATGTTTCCAGATTCAGTAAGCCTGCCTTCATTGTTTCGACTTGTTCAATACAATTATATCTATCTTACATCTTCTTGTATTAAAACCTTTCATTTCTCAAATAATCTCATGTCTGCAAATCTGTTTTGTGCTCTGATTCAAGGATTTCTAGAATCAATGATATCAACTCCAAGAGGACCACGCATGATTCATAGATTTGTTGCCGTTAATCCCGAGTAATTTTCCTGCTATTTTATCTTATTAACCATAGCCATTTTATCTTATTAAACTCACCTGCATACACTCTAAAGTCTTATCCAATCCATCATCTATATGATAAGTTCTTTTTCCCACTTATTACTGCTTGCATATACTCCAGATGCAAACCAATGATCTTTACCATGTGGGAACCATATGTTTACATCGAAGGCATTGAATTGATGAACATTATACACACATGCCCAGTAGTTCTGCTTATTCACCCAAAGATCACAACATATCATGGTCAGTACCTTCCTTACCAATTCAATTACTTCATAACCAATAATATATCTGATCACATTCATTATTTTCTCTTCTTTTTTCCTCTTTCCAAATACCAATTAAAGAAATTGATATTACTACCCGCCCCAACACCACAATTGTGCTTGACCCACCATTACAACAAACAGCTTCACTGAAAATTTGGTACACATTTCTCTATTTCTCAATTTCCATACTCAATATTCCTGCATTCATAGATTAATATAACAACTAAAACAAAATATTGCATAAATACTACAGGTGTAATGAGAACAAAGCATATATTGATAGAGTCATCAGCCAAAAGCTTTATGAAAAAATAAATCAGAAAGTGCTTACTCCTCTTAACAGTCAAATAAGACCAATCTTACAGATTCTTGCCTCCCCAGAACTGGTAAAATAACTTCTTTTCTTAATATATGCTTCTCCTTACATAGTAGATCCAAAAACTTACATATATAGTTCATTTACATTAATAATAACTTTCAATTTTCTCATTTGAATAGATCAAGAACTTCTGGATCAAAGGAACTCCATTGATAATCAATTCTGAGCAAAAATTCTTTGTCCCTAGCTGTGTTATATGTGGCAAATCAACAGGAGCAATGATGGACATTGAATTTGATTGCAGCTTCTGTGAAACAAAGGACAAAAAATCAGAACCAAAGTATCTATATTTCTTACATAAATTATATATTAATCCTTTAATCGCCTTTAACAACACACAATATACTAAAGCACTCTCTTATTTCTTTCACAGAGCAAAATTCCAAGTAAACATACATGATGACACCAGCTACATCACTGCTACTATTGAAGAAAACTATGCAGAAATCCTGCTTGGCATGACTGCTGCTGAAATCTATGACAAGCATACCAAGGTATAGACCAAATGGCTGATACATATACATAAAACATTCACTGCATTTATTCTTTCTTATAGCCTAATCTATATTGTTTTCAATAACACAGAAAATGCCAATCCCTGTTGATCTTATCAATCAAAAAATCCAACAGCAAACTTTACTCTGTGAGATGAGGTCGTATCTACTATCTCAAAGATAATTTACACCCCTTTATTTTTTTCACTGCCTTTGTTACTGACAAATCATCAACTCAACCACTTCTCAAGCACCTAGATGAAGAAAAAACTTCAGGCTCAGAGCAGCAACAGTTGATTCAGAAAATAGACACGCCTCAGCAAGTTACAGTTCCATCTGATCCATCTACACCTATTGCCACTCCCAGTTCAATCCACCAAAAAACTTCTTCAGACGAATCTTCAGCTTTTCAGACAACTGTTTTGACTGAACCATAGGCTCTAACAGCACCACCATCTGCCAAACGCAGCTTAGATCAAGAATTTGACAAAGAATCCAAGAAGCAGAAAAGCACGTGAAGCCAGCTATCTGTACCTGTTAATATTTTTTATTCCCTGCAGCTATTAATCACCTTTTGCTCCGCTGTACTTTATCTGCAAACTAAACCACAACATACTTTTGTTTAATTCCTCATCAGACATATCTAAAACTTTATCACCAGTATGAAACACTGCTTATATTCACTTATGAACTTTGTTTCCCTTACACTAATACATCTGATACAACAAAACATCTCTGTACATTCACATGACTATATAATAGTCCCATCCTATACACTCCATTCCAT